ATATTTGAATATCCAACATATGGGCAATTGGATATTTAGATATCCAACTGGTGGACAGTTGTATCTTTTTATGTCCAACTAGTGTTGATCGAGTTAAAATAGTTAAATTATACATAGATTAATAATAAAGGGAGACGTCATGAATGTTTTTAAGTCTTGGCAATAAAGGCAGAAAGATTAGCTACTTTTGTTTTATGACGACAAAGGATGGAGAACATTTCTGTATAAATAGATATGAACGATTTTTTAACCCTGACTAGAGTTACATTTGTTCTCTTGGGATTCTCATATTGTTGATTACAATCAATCTGTCTTCTTTCTTCTCGACCACTTCTACTCTGTACAATACACTGGAGAATATATTTTATAGTGTAGGGTAAGAAGACAAATTTTGTCATAAGAACCTTTGGTTGACGTGCTGTTTTTGCATTAGAATGCATTATTTTTATTTTTTGGTTACTGATATAAAAATTGAGGAATATGATTTGAAATTTAATAAAACAAATAATGGACTGTATCATTTATTGCATTTTATAAACATCATTATCAGTGCCATGTTGCCATAATAATAATAATAATAATAACTAGAGCAAAGCTCGTTGAAAAGCAACGAGTAGGTCTTCCGACGGACAACGGACGTCGAAAGTAATATATAAAGAGTTTTTATACTAATAATGATAAAATTTAGGCAAATATTTCTATAAAAGGACCAAAAATCATTTTTTCAAAAAAATTCAACTTTCAATTCGGACTTATCCGGCCGTTATGACGTCACTTCCGGTTGACGTCGGAAGTCTCAAAGCCATAAAAAAAACCTTTAAATTCAATTACAAACCATTTTATAGCATTTCTAAAGATTTTAAAGGAAAAGCTTTATTTTTCAACTACTTCCGGTTTAAACCGAAAGTACTTTAAATGATGGTTTTTGTTGTCAATTGTACATTTGAACTTAAGTTCTTTATGCCTTTATTCAAAACTGTTCAATTCTTTAAAAAAAAAAAATCCGTGAAATAAATATCACTTTCGTTGTTAACCGGAAGTGACGGAGGCAAAAACAAATCAAAGAGGTGTTCTACCACCTCTGAAAAAATCATGATTCTATCTTGAGCCGTTTTTAAGAAAAAGCGTGGACAAAATGACAATTTGAAAAATGAAAATCGTAAAAAAAATGCGACCGGAATTGAATTTTCAAAAATATAAAAAAAAATGTCTGGAGATATTATAATAATGCATCATTCCTGAAAAAATCTTCGAAATTGGTCGATTTGTTTCCGATGTACTATGAAAAGGGAATAATAATAATAATAGGAAACAGAAGAAAAACAGTAAGATCTTCCGAAGGAAGTCGGAAGACCTTAATCATCATCATCATCATCATCATCATCATAATGATTCTGAAAAAAAAAAACTTCATCACATTGCATCCTTTGATCAACCCTGCAGATCAGATTCACTAGCAGCTATGTCCGATCCATATAAGCACTGCAAGCGGTACAGCTTAAGAATGCCGTTTTTCCAATGCAAACCCTGTATTTACCACAAAGTACATTTATATGTAACAAAGCTTTACACAATTTAATGATTTAATCAATTATTATTACTTCGGAATGCTCTGCGGCTTAGTCTCTATCTGATCACACAGTGGGATCACAGCGACCGGTCGATAGGGGTAGCTAACTCCTCGTAAGTAGGCTATCCCACCCCCTGTTCACAGAAGTACGTGGTTTTGTAATTCGGCGTCTCAAAATGAGAAAAAAGGACCATGAAAAAGAAACAATCTTGCATTTTTATGGGATTTATGAAATTGATTGCTGTTTGTCATCCTCATCTCTTGTATGAATGCTGGGACTTCGCGAACTAGATTTAAAGTAGGTTCAACTTGTAGTAATGTAATTTGGATCAGTATATCAGGATTCACTGGATCAAAGGACATTAAAATATTTTTAGAAAAACACCGATACGATTTTCTGGGTTGACGATTTTTTTCCAGCTCTTCAAAGGTTTTTTATTTATTTATTTTTTTTATTTTTTTTTTATTTGTCGACATAATTTGTCGAAATATGCATCTGGTGCATCAAACTTGGTATCGTATTTCGTCACAGGCATGCATAGGAACTTTCTATATTTGCTGGAGATACTTATATTTTAGTTTTTAAACGAAAGTAACATATATGAGAAACAAATAATCTAATATCCCAGGGGCTGGTTTGAAAAAAAAAAATGTACACAAATGTTAGTCGTGAAGATGATTCGTTATTGAGGTTTTTCCGAATTTCTCATTTCTTGGCTATTTACGCTAATCGCTGATGTTTTTATATACACAATATTAAAGCATTGTCTTTATCATTGCGTTAAGTCATGGTGTTAAAAACCTGAAAAGTTTCATTAAATTGTTCATATATTCTTTCTATGTTACATTATTCCAATATTTTTTTTTCTATTTGAATTCTTGAAGAATAGCGATTTTTAAATTTCATTATTTAACATTAAATATGATGCATTGCTACAGAAAAGTAAGGTTGCCAAACTTTGATTCGTTTGAAGGTAATACATGTTTTATTTATCAAAGTCATAAAGTTTCGATATTTAGCATGCAAGAAAATAAACAGGTAAAAAAAAAAAAAAAAAAAAAAAAAAAACAGCTGATATCATTCTATTACGTAATTAAATGCACATCATTATTGGAAATAAATATATTGATACTAAACAAAGGTGCAAACAAAATATATGACAATTTTTGCTAAATTAAAATTTTTTATCATGACTGATATTTCCTTTTCCAGTATTTAGTTGCCCCACCATTTTGCACGAATGGAAGTCTTCGTGTCATTAAGTTTGCTATGAATAGTCATTGTCAGAGTAAACGTTTTTGAATTTGAGTACTATAACCGTTGAAGTGAATTCCTAATGTTCTATTTTCAGCAAAGTTTTATTATTCCATCGTAAATTTCACTCTAAATCTCTCATCTTGGGTTTCAATCGGGATTGTTTCCCGGTTTAGTCAACTTAGGAAATTGACTGCGTTTGCGAAACCCTTATTTGCTCATAAAGATAAATTGAAAGATAAGACGTTTCTGACTAAGGTTGTTTCTATACTTCCGTTGTATTGGAATATCCCCGATTCAATCCCAAGTAAAAGCATGTGAGTGAAATAAAAAAGACCCGACTTTACTCAAAACATGCCAACAACTTATAGATTGAAAGATATATAATATAAAGTGTACTCAAGAAAGAAGGTGCTCAATTCTTAAAAAAAAATAAAGTTCTGTGGAAACTAATTGCAACCCTATGTGCACAAAAACTATTTTTCGTACAAATAGGTGATCAAAAAAATTTCAGTTATAATTATAAAGACATTTACAAATACAAAACGCATTAAATATTTTGTTTTCGCCTTTGGTTAGTGCCAATATATTTATTTTCAAAATGTGCATTTAAATAGTTTTCAAAAGCATGTCATGTGAAATAGTTTTTGAGTTGTATGATGCTCAAATAACTTCAAGGGTACTTCTAAATGAAATTTTCATAAACGTTTCTAATTGAACTTTTAAAGCGATGTACAAATTAATTTAAAACAATTACCCTGGTACATGTAGTTATTGTCCATGGACTGGATTGGGTATTCTGTTCTTAGATTGCAATGCTTATATTAATGCGTATTAAAGACTTCGTTATATTTGTAACACGACATAAATGGTTATCATTGTCATTTTTGAATCATGTGACAAAACCAATTATTTTGAAAGAACAATATGAAATAACAAGATTTTAATTTATAAAATCAAATTGCTCTTCGTGCATCATGATATCAAAGGACCGTAGACCTAATGTTGAAATTGATGTAATGAGTGCTAACATATTCATGCTGAAAACAACTTTTTTTCGTTTCAAATAAGACACAAAGGCAGAACTCTGTGTTTATTTTATAACAGGTGAATGTGAGATAAGGAGTTCTAAAATACTTGTATCCTTATTAGCTATTTTCAATAAAAAAAATAATTTTCAAGCCTTACCACAAATATGAATAAAAATTTTGTATCGTAGATTAAGCAAGCCTAAAGTTTATGCATAATATTATATGCTGATATCATATTCTTATATCTTTACATATTACAAGGATCCTGCGCTGAAATAAAACAATGCTTATGTGTATTGATAAGAATACAGCAGCCACAATCAAAAGCCCAACGATACAGAAAATTAAGGTAGATGCAACATTGTCGAGATTCACACGCCCTGTTTCTTTTGTACAAAAACTACCACCGCTTGTTCTTTGTGAGACATCTATAATAGAAATATTGGTATTTTCTGTGACTAAAAAAATAAATATTTAGCAATTTTCTTTGATTCTAAAAAATCGTTTCTTTTGATATGCAGGAATGTTATCATATATTAATTGATTGATTGTATATTGTTTTACGTCCCATTCGAGAATTTTTCACTCATATAGAGACGTCACCATATACCGGTGAAGGGCTTCAAATTTTGACCTTTACTCGGCACTCAGGGCCATTGAGCAGTGAGGGATCTTTATCGTGCCAACGCCTGCCGTGACACGGGGCCTCGGTTTTTAAGGTCTCATCCGAAGAACCCGCAACTTTCACTTCAAAGTGCCGAGCGCATGGCGAAGGAACAGTTGCTACCTATTTTTTATCGACTTAGGTCTGTCGCGGCCGAGATTCGAACTCACGACCTCCCGATCACGGATCGAGCGCTCTACCGACTGAGCTACCGTGAACGGTATATCATATATTAAATATCTACCTCTGCAATTTAAAATATGTCGATTTTTTTTTATGAAAAGCAATGTTGGTAAATTTTCTCATTAAAAAATGAATCGCTGTTTGATAAATACCCTCATTCTTCGTCCGCAATCTAGACTCTTTAGAAGCTCTTTCTGATACTGCTCTCTCTAACAAGGAACTTGTAGATGCTTTTGGAGAGGTAAAGTAAGAAGAGGTCGATTCTAAATTTAAAATAAAAGACAGAAAGAATACTACCTTCAACCTAAAAGAGAAAATATTATTAAACAAAATCTGACATTATTTCAATGTTACCGAGTAGCAAAATGATGCTATGATATACTACGTATATATTAATGATTAATGGAAAATCAAAGCTTGTAATCCTTCATGCTTTAATATCGTGAACTTTAATTAAAATTCAAAGGATCAAATTTTAATGGAATTTGTAATGTGCATTCAATTACTTGAGCTCCTTCAACTAATTAATACTAAGCAAACTGAAATGAGAAATATTAATTTCAGCAGTATATATGTGCAATTCTAAATAATGCCTAGAGAATATCAGCATCATACCTACACATCCACTAATGTGATTACAATGTTCTTTGGCACAATTGCAGTGTAGTTGGCATCCTTCTCCATAGCCTGGGTATCGACACTGATGCTCACAATTAGCACCAACTGTTCCAGATTTACACCCAACTATAAATATATAAAAATAAGTTTCCTTTTTTTGCAATGGGTAATTACGTCCAACAAAGCAATCTATTCAAAATACTTAGGTACATGATGAATTCCTTCTGCAACCGAACACGTGGAGGCAACTTTCATTAGAACAATAACATTTAGACTTGCACCCCTTTCCGAATAGTGGCAAAGGGCAAGTATATCTGCAATCTTCACCGAAAAAACCGTTCATGCAAGCTGTAAACAGACGTAAAGAAAATTCAAGTCAATCATTTAGTACATATACATGACTGTTCAGCAATGACATTTTTTTTCGTTTTAATCTAATTATAGGTTATTGATATTCAAGAATATAGTATTTATCCTATATTTGATACAAACGTGTGCATTTATTTAATGTCTTATTCCACCGAAATCCTCTGCAGCAACGTGTCCCGTTTTTCCTAAATATATTTGCATAAAATATTTGAACCCAGCTGTATGATACATTGTAATTAACAATTAGTATATGTTCATAATTCATCGCAGATAAACAAAAAAGTAATTGAATAAAAACACTATGTATTTTCCATCCATTCATTTTCTTAAGTCTTTGCTAAACATTCCTCGTTTAAAAAACGGTTAATGCGATTTGATAATGCCCTTTCAAGCGAGGTCTTATTGTCCATTATTTTTTTTTTATATTCTGGAGACAGTTCAGACTCTCTTTCATACTTACCCTTCGCATATTTCTGATGTAGAAATCAGTAAATATTGAAGTAGGAGGCAGACAATGCATGCAGAAAAATAAATAAAATTCATTTCATCATTTTTGATGGCAAATCACAGTTTACTGTATTTCCTCGTGTGTATCTTTTATACGGGAAAGTCTCGGTACTACAATTTCGTGACATATTTATAATTACTATGACAGCTGGGTCATTTACCTATCTGAGCGGTTTTAATTGGTTGCTTTTCCAGGTACTTCATCTCCAAGTGTATGGATATGTTGGCACAAAATGCAGGTGTAGAGTATGATTGTACTCATCTACGATGGAATATTTTACTCTTTGAAATTTCCCTTGTACTTTCATTTTAACAGATCATTGAAGTATATATATATATTTTCAGGGAATTACTCGTATACTGACAGGATAGGTTAGATCTTCTGCGCCATATCTATTTCACTAAAACAACAGTCAAGTCCATAATTGTAATTTTGGAGAACAGGTCCCATAACCAGTTTTCTCCAACTCCAGTTCCTTAAGTTTTTAACTCAAATTTCCAGAGGCACTCGGCAAGCCTCGTCCTTCTTGAAAGTTAAAAAAGGAACTCGAGTTTGAGAAAAATTCGGCTACTAACTCGTACTAGTTATATAACCTATATATAGCTGTATTTTTATTAGGGCTGTGTCAATATATCGATTAATCAATACGTATCGATATTCTGGAAAGTATCGTATTGAAAAAATAACTTCCAATACGTATCGGGCAGGCAGTGTTTCTTATAATTCTGTGAAAAGGTTGGGAAATTCAGTCACCAAAGGTTATTTTTAACTGTTTTGAATTAAAACTGATCAATAATGAAATAAACATTAAGGAGAAAGCACATCTTAAATACTATTAAAAAGCACATCTTAAATACTATTAAAAATACAAAGACAATTTATTTTAACATGTTAGTTTTACAGTCATTAAAGGTTTGACTTTGAAGTGTACTTTGTAAAGACAGTGAGACATGGACTTCCAATTTGGTAATAAAGCACCCAGTTTTTATCAAATTTATGCAATAAATGATTTACAAGACTTTTTTTGATAGACTTGTTAAAGAATCCAATATATAGCATATCGCCGTAAAACATATCGTATCGTTTTGAAATATTTTGCTCAACACAGCCCTATATAAGTACCTAGCCTAACATTCATTTAAAGATTTTTTTTGAATTGAAGAATTAAACATATTTTATAGTAATTTTAACTGTATTATAAGTTTATAAATCTGGAAGATTTCACTTGTAAACTTTGGCTTCATTAAAAAGACACTCTGTAAGTTTAACCCTGCCAGTCATGAAACCATACGGCTGCAAACATAATTATCTCTTTTGAAGAGACTGATTGTCTATCCAGAGACAAAAAGAACAAAATCTATCAGAGACTAAATTTAATAATAATATTTGTAATATTTTTATAGGGGGTGCAAGTTAATCACATAATAACCATCTTGCATGCTCATTACTCAAATTTTGAGGAAAAAAAGGTTTAGAAAATCAATAAAATGGAAGAAGTAGATATGAATTTGTAAAATTTACTGAAAAAGTGTTCGTATCTAGGTTAAGGACGCCCGTGGAATATACGCCTTAATATATTCAGGGAAAATGAATACAATTTTAATATTTTTTTAACAGCATTAGTTTTGATAAATGTGATTTGTGGTGTTTGCACTTCTAAAGCGACATCGCTTACATCAGCTGTTTGTCACGTGACAGTTTTAAAATTAGAACATATATGTACTACTACAAAGATCGTAAAAGTTCAACGATATACGGGCGTTTTTCCGCTATAAAATTTATTCTGTTTCTTTGAGACAAATTCCTTAACACGAAAAGTGCTGGGAGCAATTTCATCATGCTCGGGAATTGTTTAAAACTTAGCCGTCTTTCTAAAAACTCCAGTCAAAAATGTAATTTGCATTGGAATAATGTTACATTACGGAATAAATCAGCAATGCACAACCAGCTCCCAGCACTTTTCAGAATAGTAGGAATAATAGCTACACGTGTTTAAAAATTCAGAATTTATAGTGAAGCGGATATCGTTGAACTTTTGATATTTTCGAGGGGCTGGACCTGTCATTCTAGCACGTTACTGTACAAATGTGCTCCCTATGGCTTTATATAAAGTCTACACATTATCAATTTAGTTTGACAATAAAATGTGGATTAATATATTTCAGAATATGTCTCTCTTTTGGTCCGACTACGCGAGTTTCGTATTTATTTTTATTTTTACAAGCTACGATAAAGCTTGATTCACGCCTCAAGTACAGAGAAACAGCGTGTCAAACTAAGAAATGACGTCATCTCAGTAGGTACAGCGAGATCAAGCTGGCTTTCATTCTACATAGTTACGCTTAGTGCTATTAAAGCAAGATAAGTTGCACATCCATTTATCTTTATAATATTTATGATAAACGAAAGTATTTAGTGTGTTTTAAAAAGACCCTCTGCATGGCTGACGAACCCTAACAAAAAATTCTATAGTAAACTATAGTTAACTATAGTTTACTATAGTTAACTATAGTAAATCAAAGTTCCAAAGTTTTCACTATAGTAAATCAAAGTTCCAAAGTTTTTACTATAGTAAATCAAAGTTCCAAAGTTTTCACTATAGTAAATCAAGGTTCCAAAGTTTTCACTATAGTAAATCAAAGTTCCAAAGTTTTCACTATAGTAAATCAAAGTTCCGAAGTTTTTACTATAGTAAATCAAAGTTCCAAAGTCTTTACTATAGTAAATCAAAGTTCCAAAGTTTTCACCATAGCAAATCAAAGTTCCAAAGTTTTTGATATGGTTAATTAAAGCTTCAAAGTTTTCCCTAAACTTAATCAAAGTTTAAAAGTTTTTTTCATTAGTTTAACACTTTATGTATTTTTATTATTTTATTATTATTATTTAGCCTTTGTAGGGGAGGAGGTGGGTATGGGGTTGGTTGGGGCTGGGGTTTTTTTTGTACATCTTTATTCAAATATACAATGCAGTTAATTCAAATGTAATATTTACATTTATAAATTTAAAAAAAATTCATGTTGACTGAAACTGATGAAGCAGATATTTTGATTCTAAATGACATATTTTTTTTTTATAATATATTATTTTTTTCTCCATAAATAAAACTTACGTTACATCTGCATAACATTAAATTAAATACATTGAAATAAATATTGCTTATTTATCGGCGCAAGCGACAACCTTTACATTAAAATTCATATCTTGTACATTATTCTTTTTGGGGAAGGGTCGGGTTTTTAAAATGTTCTGTAAAGATTTTATGAATCTTAAACTTGAAATATCATAAAATATAAAGAATGGGAATCAAAAACATAATTCCATGGGATTTATCGTACTTAATCAAAGTTTCAAAGTTTTCACTATAGTAAATCAAAGTTCCAAAGTTTTCACTATAGTAAATCAAATTTCCAAAGTTTTCACTTTGGTACTATAGTTAACTATAGTTTACTATAGTATTTTTGTTAGGGTATATATGGGAGTCCTTAACTTAGCTGCGTTGAACTTTCTTTTCCCGAGATACTTTCAAAACGTAACGTGTATATTAGAACTTTTCTGAAATTGCGTTAATTATAAAACATAAAATATACGATACAGAAAGAAAAAGAGGAGAAAGGGCATGAGTGGAAAATGCCTGTCTCAAACTTGAATTCAAACACGTACACTGAAAGGCAAGCAGCTAAACCCTAGAGCAGCAATTTCATTGATGTTGAAAATATAAATTTAAGAGGAAAGTCTAAATCTTATGTCAATATGAGAAAGACAATTATATATTTTCATCATTTTCAAAAAGATGACCACCTTTAACCAAAAATATCTAAATTACTGAATTGCAGTCATATTAAAATAAAATAATTCATTTTTCTGGTTAAAAGATGTCTTTTGCATCAGTTTAACGTTATTTAGGTGAATGTCTCAATATTTACTATGTACTCCATACAAATTGGCAATCTTCATATTCGTCATATAATGGAACGGTAAACAATAATATTATACTTTCATGTAGATTAGTTGAATCTGATTCGTCGAGAAACATTTATTAAAAAACACTATTACCAGCTGAATGATGGATGAAGCCACGCCTTCCAGCGTAGCAACAGTCAACAATGCTTGACGACGGGTGATATTCCAAAAAAAAAAGTGACTGCGCAGAATTTATACCCGCACAGTTCACTGTTATATGTATTTGGATAAAACATTCAGTATAATATAATAAATATTGCTTGTAGTTGAGTGTAGCATTGAAAAATTTCACCCCTTGAAATCGATTGTCAACCTCGGCTGTGCCTCGGTTGACAATGGTTTTCTTGGAGTGAAATTTTCCAATGTTACACTCAACTACATGCAATATTTATATTATATATCACTTTATGCAAGTTGAGTTTACAGAAGTATAAACTTCAAATTGTATAAGAAAGTATTGTAAATAAAAAATGTTTCTTAAAATTTCTACTTAAGCAGGCAAAAATGCGCTATGGCTCTTTAACAAAAAATGAACATCCAGGTTAAACAGATTCAATATCAATTGATCCTCTTAATCATGACACCCATCTTTTTTTGAAATGTTACCGACATCCAATTAAAAGAATTTGATATGTCTTTGGGACATCCGACAAACAAACAAAAAGACAATTAGACAAAAAAGGTACAAGGTTACAAATATAGGAGAAAAAAAAGACAAGTTCGTTTTATTTAAAAAAAAAAAAAAAAAAAAAAAAAAAAAAGAAAAAAGACAAATTCGTTTAAACATATATTTTAAGTAAGAGCCATACTCGGATTAATTTCTGAAAGAATTTTTTTCCAACATTATTCAACTAACTCACATAAAACATATTTATGGGGAAAGACCATTGTCATCATATTATTTTTTCAGCAGTTGGGGGTACAGACTGCTGTGGCAAAATCAGCTTTAGATAAATTAATGTTCAGCTATATATAAAACAAAGAAAAATGAAGAAAAAAGAGAAAATGTAAAAAAAAAAAAAAATGAATTAATAATTTGAGTAAAATGATGTATTAATGATTTTATTTTTCCTTTAAAAGTAATAAAAATTTAAAGCGATATACACCATATTATTGATGCAATACGCTCTAGATGTAGAATCCGCTGTGTCAATTTTTATACATTTTAATGGTTGTTTCAATTATATCAGTAAATCTCAGAGAAAAATTCTAATCAATAAAATATTTAATGCAAAACAAAACAAAACAAAACAAAACAAAACAAAAAAAAAAAAAAAAAAAAAAAAAAATGCAAATAACGCATTCCAAAATCAAAACAGAATTTTTTTTTTCTGTTTTAGGCATTTTGCCTTTAGGTATTGACAAAATCTAACAAAAAGCACAGTTTTATAAGATATTTATTGATAAGAATGTAAAAAATCAGCATTTTCTAATGGAAACACGGTCTAGTGTCACAAACAAACAAAAATGTACATATATGGAGAAAATATTGACAACTTAGCAAGACTTTACGGGGTAAATTTCCTTCACTTCCACACCGGTCAATTTGACCGGTGGCGCGTTAAAACACGACTTCGCGAAAATAAGATTCTCTGTATTTATTTTATGAAAGCATAAAGGTATATAAACTATATATCATCTTTTTGGACATTTTCTGTACTTTAAAACTATGTAGAAAATTTATGTCTTAATGTCGGTAATAAATAGATTTTACGTTTTGAAGACATACATGACTTTTTGAAAATGGCGCAATTTTCCAAAGCAATTGACGATTTTCCCGACGATTGACATTTTTTTTCCTGATTAACATAATAAAGAAAGTGTGATATATTCTCAAAGCATATTTTCTCTGCTTTTAAAATATGTAAAAATTATTGTTATTACTTTAAAATATTTCGTAAAAACAAGAATTTTCTTGCACTTATGTGTTTTTTCTCGTTTTTAATAGTAATATTTAAACAAAGCTCAAGTTTACGTGTATTTCTGTATTGAAAAAGGGAAAACAAAATAAAACTGGTAAAAGTAGAGAAAATTTCCTTTTCAACAAGCCTTTACTGATCTTCTTACTCTCAGTATTTTCTTTATAACGATAGTTTGAATTTGTGACCTTTGCATAATTTTTATAGAAAAATCACGGACAATCAATGTTTAACGTCAAGGTCGATTCTGTTGCGTCTTACTCGGAACAAAATATTGTTTTATAACATAATAAGTATTATTTTAATATATACTTTTAATGAAATAAATGCTAAATACAAAATAATTGTTTTGAAAAACATATATACTATCTTTCTATCTTTTGTGAAGTTTAATTTTTTAATATAATGAATTTATTTATCTATATTACATGTACAGTAATGTTGATACGAAATGTAGATTCCCTAAACGTCTTTACGTCGAAAAAAAAAAAAAAATCAGATTTAATATTGCTGTATGTCATATATTTTCTTAATATGAAATTTAATTAGATCTATACCATGTATACTGACACGGAATTTAACAACTTTGAAACAAGCACAAAAACTCGCATTTTCACGACACATCACTGTAAGAGTTGATACGAATTGAGATTACCACGTGTTTCCGCTGTAGCAGTAAACTACAACATGATGAGGTTTTCATGATTATTTTACAACGAAGAACATCACATCAATGCATCAAATAATACGGTCTTTCCTTTGGTATTAGAGGTGAGTAAGTATTGACTGAAGAGTTAAAACTGTCTTTAAAACGCATTAATTCACATTCAAATGAAAACAAAATGTACACATGTACTAGGTCTTCATGTATCTAGGCACAGGAGTCAGCAGTTTTATCCAAAAAACAAAGTAAACACTAACCAGTGAGCTTCGCGAGCGTAGCGAGCTCACTCGCGAAGCTCAATGGTTAGTGTTTACATTGTTTTATGGTTAAAACTGCTGACTCCTGTCATCTAGGCGTTACCCTGTTTCAGTGTTTGAATCTCGTATTTTAGATTGAAACTAGTTCAGCCAATTTTGTGTTGCTTTTGAAGTGTATACTTTTGACGACCACCCTTTCAAAGTAAAATCAAGTTGGCATAATAATGGAGAGTTGTTGTCAGTATGTGTGTACATACACTATCACATTGAATTTTTAGGGTACTGGCACCAAATGCTTTAGTACTTTCATCTGTGAAGACCCAATTGCTAACCCGACCATGCACTAGAAAGATCATTATGTGGGGACACAGGTGCTTATTATGACCAACGAACAGGTGGATTTTTGTTTTGTTAGTGAAAGTGTCTGTATCTCTAAAAATTCTAAATAAAGTGAAATTTTAATTGCATTCTCTTGACATTGCATTCACACAAGTTTATAAGAATTTGATTTATATTTTGAAAAAAGTGTGTGATACTCATGATATTTATGATTCATGATTATACATTTAAACACACTATTGAAACACACAATATTTATTCAAATTTATGCCCAGAAAGGGAACAAGCAGTCTTTTATAGACTGCTGTGGTATTTCAATCTAGTAAAGTATGTGGTTAGAATTTCCATTTTCTCAATTTTTCAGTCACTTTCGAATTATCATGTACATGTATACATGGATGGACAAACTATGTTCACTGGATGCATGGCTATATATCAACACTCCCATGTACATGAACAGCCTTGCCCCAGGAATTTTGCCCTGAAGTAACAGTTTTCAGTCCATTGTGTCCTTTCTCTTAACAACCCTGACAGCCAGGTATGCTATTTCTTTTAGTTCAATAATTCAACCATGATGGTTTATTACTAGGCTGATGATTTTTCAGTCCTGATACATTGACTTAACCAAATCATTTAACTACATGAATCACATAAATATACTTTTGATTTTAAAAGGAAAATTACATCAATGTATTAATTGTCGCATTCTAATTTTATATATGTAAATTCACATAATCTGTTTCAAAATATTTAAATCTTTTACAGGATAGTAGCTGATTACATGTACTTGACAGAAAATGATCATGTCTTAGACAAGTCAAAGAAATTCCTCCAGTCTTTCAGAGAAATGACAGTTGATGAAAGAATGGTGGCCACAAAGTAAAAGTGCTCTGGTCTTCAACATTTTGTGGAAGATTAAATCAGTCTGATTTGGAATTCAGCTTGCAATATTTCTGGATTTGTATATTTGTATAAAAACAGAACTTTTTCAACTTATTGACTAAACAGTTTAAATTTGCATTAGATATTGCCAATGCCATCTATTATTATTTTTTTCCTCCAAGATGACATGTCAAGTCTTTATTGTACCCCTTAAGCACTGTTACCAGAAAAATCTTGTAATGAAATCAATTAGTTTATTTTTTCTTGTTAAATTTAAAGTCGGGGGGAAAATCAATGAAGTATAGGGTATTTTTAATGGCATCAAGAAAATGGATTTGTTTTTGTTTAACAGAAAGATTGTATACATGTTGTACATATGTAGTTACTGTTATGTAATTTTTACATCACTGTTTAGCCAGACCTTTTTGTCATTTTTTTTTCCATTTTTTTTTTGGAGTGAGCAAAAAATTTAAAAACCTTTATTAGCCACATCTTTCATGAAATGTATAGGACCTGTTGGTCTGTCAATTTAATTTGCTAGTAAATATGCATCATAAATTGGAACAAAGTTGCACTAGTGGAAAGTACTGTTTATTTTTTAATTTACTTGATATTATGGTTGTGAATTTTTTTTTAAAAAACTTAGAACACAAGAAACCCTGCTTGTAAATTGTACTTCAAATTTTTGACAACCTGATTTTTAATTACTTGCATTGTCAGTTTATTATTGCCTTGAAAGACCAAGTCAAATGTTTCTCATCAAACATGGCCAGTGAATGCCGTCTTCACCAGCGAAGGGATTTGTTGTTCTTCTCACAAACCCATGGTCTATCTTGCTATCAAAAGTCAGGATTATTTTCACAAGTTGTGGTTGGAGTTTATTGACATCATTTGACCAGTCAGTAAGTGCTATAGTTAATGACGATATCTTCATTCAGGATATTTCTTGACTCTCTAGTCTCAGTAATAAAAACCCTTGTAAACAATGATTCATAAGATAACATTCCATTCTTGAAATTGCTATGGCATATCATCCAACGTGAAGATTATGTGCACATAATGTAATCTGGAACCTATATTGCAGATAAAGACTTGCAAACTTACTAACAAATAAACATGTCTGCTTGTTAATTATTTTTCAGATACTTCACGTTTTATAAATGCTCTTTATTTCTATGAATGGTGCAAGCTGTGATTCAAGATCAGGTGACTTAAACAATCCTGACTTTTGATAGCATGATAGGCTAAGGGTTTATGAGAAGAATAGCAGACCAGAATCCTTTGCTTGCAAAAATGAGCAAATGCATGTCACATAAATAAGATGAATGAAAGGAATGTAATTTCAAAAGCCACTCATTTGAAAAAGAGATTCCAAGTTCCATCCATTGTCCATCTTGTGAGGTTTCTTCCTGCTTATCAAATGAAAAAATTGTTTTAACAAGTAACTCAGTAAAGACAGGAAATCTGTTAAAAATTAGAAATTTATGATAATTCTTTTTTTTTTTACCATATTATTATTATAATATGTGTGTCATTAACGTTGAATTACATGCAATCACATCTTACAAATTTTATTTCAGTTCACAAATTTTAGATGGATTTTTGCCATTTAAAAAATTCTCTCAGGATTTTGTTGTTCACAATTTGTTTACGTCATCTATTAGATGATATATCAGTAGTGATTGCAGCATTTTAAAATTGATATATACTTGCAATTTAAGGCAGAATTCTGTACTGATATGACCTTGACCCCCCCCCCCCCTAAGAACAGAAGTGTCAAGATCAATACTTAAATCAATAATGTTCTTTACATTATTTTGGCCTATATCTTACTTATAATATCATGGAATACACAAAAAGTGTCTGGAATGAGCAATAACAAACATACAATGTATACAGCCAAAAAATTAAAAATGTTGTTGCTAAGCAACCACTTAAAGGTCATTTAACAAATATTTGAAATGAAATGGTGTATGGATATTGCAGTTCTGATGATTTCTTCAGAGTATGTTCAGAATTTTTTATTTCAGCATCCATTGTGTAAAATTTTAGCAAGAATATTGAAAAGTGTTGAAAAAGTTGATGAAATTTTTGCACTAATTTGACCTTTGACCTCCTAAAAATAGTGTTAATGAGGTCAAACTTTAAGACCATTTATCTGCTGTATATCCCTTTTAATTTTATGACCTCATATCTGACTTTAAAATGTGCTGGAATGCATGAATGTGTCTAGGATGAGCAAAAAACGAAAATTACTGTCCGAAAATTGAAAAATACCCCGTTGCTAAGCAACCCCTTTAAAGTCAATATATGCAGAATTGAAAAAAAAAGTTTATGTAATTCATGTAGTACAGTATAATGCTCTTTTGTGAGTATATTCCAAATTTCCTATTTCAACATACATCATTGTTAATTTTTAGCTTGAAGATAAAAAAGTAATGAAAAATTCCATAAAATTTTGTACTTATTTGACCTTTGACCTCCATTTCTACTAATAAGGTCAGTTGTTGGGTATCTGAATAGTCATGAAATATCATCTCTAAGGAATTCCCTACAAAATGGTATGCATTATGCCTAGCTTTCTCCTTGGATAAAAAGGTTAGAAATAATTTGATAATGCTATGTCAAAAGGTCTCCAAAATCACGTAAAATGTGCCGGTAGAGAAAGGGTTAAAGACAGCAAAAACCTACAGGGTAAATTTCCTCTCAAAAATGACATCGATACAGTTTACCTAAAGTATTTCAAAACAAAAGCAACCATCTTTTAGATAGCAAGACTTTACGGTATCTGAATTACCCCCCCCCCCCCCAAAAAAAAAAAAAAAGAATATCACTGATACAGTATTCACTACTGTTATAATCAAAGTACTGAAAGTACTGATGGGAGTTGATTTTCTTTCAGTGACCTTGAACTTGCCCAAATGACCTTGGGTTAAGGACATAACACATCCTTAGGTCATGACCTTGGGTTAAGGACATGACACACCCTTAGGTCATGAGTAATCTTTGTGTGAAGTAGAAGATTCTAATGTTCCTCCGTAAGAAAGATATGGACCAGACATGTTTGCACAGACAGCTAGACAAATGGACAGATGGACAAAGTGATTCCTATATAACCCCCAAACTTTGTTTGTGGGGGTATATAATAATAATAATTAATATAATATGCATTTATAGTACATGACCGGATGGTATTCTTGCATATGTTTTATATACATTGCAAGAGAGAATGCATGATCATATACCTCGAGAAACGTGCATGCTTGCAAACATTTTTTTAAATAAACTTTCCAAATTTTGAGACCACAGGTCAAGGCCAATTGTAGGAAAGTTGGAATAAAAACTTAAATAAAACAGTGGCTTTACATCTTGAATGTCTAGAATATACATGTATATTTTATATGTTATGAGACTGTGTAGAAAATACAGCAACACTGATCATACTGATGTAGGAATAGAATCAAATTAAAATGCATGTATGCATCTTTGGAATATCATGTATAATGACAAAATTATAACAGGTATAAAAAAATATATAGAAATAATAGAACGATGGTAAACAAGCATTCTGTGAGTATTGCCATAGCAGTACTAGTCCCCTATTGGCAAGTGAAATCTGGTTCCCATGAAAAATTGAAAATGTCCTAATTCAGTCAAAAATCAATGAAGCGGAATGAAATTCAAACTTGATCTATCAATTAATTTAAAGTCTTATAAAAAAAAAAAATAGCTCAATATGTTCAAACTTTTAAAAAAATTGTGGAAAACCAGTAAAAATTTAAAAGGTCATAATTCCGTCAAAAATCAATGAAGCAAAACCAAATGCAAACTTGATCTGTTACTCATCAGGATACATTCACATACCAAAAATGAGCTCAATATCTCCAAGCGTTTAGAAAAAAGTACGGAAAACCAAGTGGGACAGACTGGCAGACAGAGAGACAGCTAGACAACTAAACAGACAGACAGATAGATGGGCAGACAGACGAAGAGGAAACCTATAGTCCCCTCTGGTTTCACTTGTAGGGGACTAATAATCAGATTGCTTTAAAGCAAAATTTATTCCCCTTAACACACTGCATATTTTACAAATAATTCCTAAGTTGCATGTAAATAAGTATTTCAATCAACTTAATTTCATAAGAATATATTTTAAGACTAGTCAATATAAAAATATTAATTATATTCAACTAGTACATGTGTATTACAGACTGAGTCATGTCAATTAAGAAATATACCAGTTTTAGTGCTAGATACAGGCTGCTTGAATTGATTCATTATCAATAACATACATATACAAGATGAAAACAAAGGAAGCATAAAACTTATGAATATGCAACATCTATGATTTTTCAGTTTTATGAGGACTACAGTGAATATATATTCATGGTGGAGAATTATTGAAATGTGTTTCTCACGTTCCAGCATGCACCATACTTTTGAAATATAATCTCCAAATATTTCTTTTTATTATTGAAATGCATACTGCATGTATATATACAGTGTACTTTACATGTAAACAATAACGCACACTTATAATTAACACATCATAAGTACCGGTATGCTTATCTTGCTTAGTGCCAGGTTTGTGTCATCATATTGTACAGAAATCAGGGATAAAAAAGTTACTTTCCTCATTTTATTACACATTTTCATAATTTATTTAATAGATAGAATTATTTAATGACAAATAATAAACAAAATTTTCATGTGTTCTAATTGAGAAAAATTTATTAGAGCAATTAAAAGAAAAGGAATAAAGGTTTTCAACCTAAAGGTTCTTATAATCAATTGACGGTATAATTTTGAAAGACGAAGTAGGCTATAGTTTTCAAATCCAAAAGCAGAAATATATATATGTACATGTAATTCTTTTTCTAGGCAAGCATTCATGTACAAAATTCAGTGACTCAGTGGTATGCCCCTTTCTAAAATTTTTCGTTATTGATAATTAACTAAAATTTCATTTCATATGATGCATTCCAGTCCTATAATGATAAAAAAATATATCCATATAAATTATATCCAATAACCTGTAGCAACCTTGACATTAATATCAAGTACTCCCCAACCTTTGACATTGTCTGTTGGGTAAAGCATCTTTCCTTAATCACTGTTAATACACTTTGTTCATGGAGCCACAATCTGGGCACTGGACATACAGAATCCTTTTCATTGTAATTTTTTTTTCTGATCTACTCATTGAATGCATTTTACAGATGATAAAAATAATAATATCAGGGGAGTAGCTCCAATTGTGGCAACCCTTAGCAAAAACAAATTCATTGAATTTTGATTTATTTTGTAGTTGTTTTCTGAGCATTGGATTTTCATTGTTTTTTTGATTTGCAAAGGAATCAACTGTGCCTCCTTGCTAAATTGCATGAAAGAAAAGCATTTAAATAGCATTGAACATTGCATGATGATTTATTTTGTATTTATTTTTGATTGAACATGTCTTGATTTTAGCGAAATATGTAAATGAGATGAAGGATTACTCTGACATCACAGAAAAATGCAAAATCAATACAAAAAGAAATGAAATACTATAAAGCATTTATCTGATGTCATTTAGCATTATTGTGACATCACAGAAAAATGTAAAAGTAATACATATAAAAACATTTATGTGAAGTTATAAAACTCAAAAAGTAATAGAAAATCAATACACAGAAACAAACAATATCAAGCATTAAATATTGAGAAACAGCGAGAAAAAATATTGAACACTCAATGCAAACATTACTAATAATCTATTACATGTATCTTTACCAATTCAGAAATTTTAAATACTTACCTTAAAAGATTCACAGTTATAAATCCAAGTAATTGTAACTAACATCCTATGAATTAAGCATGATTGAAACCGATAAACACTGTCACAATAAGGGTTAATAATTCGATACAGTAATCCTTTATATCACAAAGGCACAATTTCAAGCACACTTTCTTTAATTCCATGTCTATTATTGTTTCTCATTTTGTTCTGGATTGTTTTGTTGATTATCGGTACTCTTTGTGGAACTGGATTAAGTTGCACCTTTTTTCCCAACTAGACTGGTTTTTCCTTTAGTTTCGTGCCTAAGATTTCCAATTTTGTTCTGAATAGTTTTGTTAAAGATTTTCGGTGGCACAGGATCCAACTGCAATTTTTTGCACTTAGAGTGCATGTACTCTGAAAGAAAAAAATAAATATAAGATATTTATCATTTGATATATAAATGAATCTTTTAAAAGAAAAAGAAATGAGAGCTCAAGACCATTTAAAATATATGATGTTTCGATTAGTACCTTGGATTGCTTCCAATTTGTGTTGGTCCAGACCTTTTAGACCTTTACTTTTACACAACTCCTCCTTTTTAAATACCATCTCCACGACTTTATTTAGTAGATAAATGCCACCATTTTTTGTTGTAGAAGTTGTTAAAGCCTTCATTTCGGCTGTCCTCAGGTTTGATGGATTTATAAGGACATCTCCAAATGTGTTGTTTTCATCATTAATCAGTGGCAACAAACGCTACAAAACAAAACACACCATATATTCATGTGTATTTGTCATGACTAATAGAACACATTTTCTTAATTACTGTTGATGTCTTGGAATTCCATTTGTTTCAAATTTCACGATTTTTTTATTTTGGCATATTATTTTTTGATTGCAAACATATTGAAATTAATACCACTGTCATGTTTACAAGCATCATAAAGAAAATATTAGAAATAGAACAGACAGCTATAAGTACATCCTACTTACAGGTTCTTTAACAGTTGGAGTTTCCACTGAGGGGGGAGCATCCTGTGAACATGATGGATCTGATTATGGACCTGGTGTTCCAAGGATTGGTGCATGATTAATTCCATAGGTTTAATTCTGTAGTGTATTTGTCAGCACGTTTAGGAATGACAGGATTTGACATTGTTGGTCATAATGCAATCCTCTGTAGTACCCTTGTAGAAAAAAATAGAAATACACATTAAACATGAATATACAACATGAAACATCATATTTAAACAATCAATTTAATTTACTTTTAATAATGCAAATACCTGTGAGATTGTCCAGTGGAGATGGGTCAGAGAGAATGCTGAAATTTGAACTACCACCTTGAGTTGTCCTGGTTTGAAAACAAGGTGTTGCATTAGCAGCATTATACCCATATTCAGGGAAAGATGGATCAAGCATCTGAAATGCAAATCATTTAAGGAATTAAGAGGTCACCAACACTATGAGAATACACAAGGGAATTTATTTTTTAAAAATTAACTTTCTGCAAAAACATAAAAATTAAACATTTTTACCATAATTTTCATACATTAGGAATAACTTAAAGCAAAATTCAAAGAAACTAGTAGGTCAAAGAAATGGACTTTGATTTGATTTTTTGATGATATCAATAAAATCAATTTTTACTTACATTTTCAGTCTCTATGCCATTGTCCAAAGCAAAATTCATACTGGTATCTTCATTAAGAATTCCCAGTCCCTGCCCTATTATGAAGGATGTTTCTACTGCAGGGGGTGATTCTAAATTTTCGGATGGTGATTCAACAGTTTTGAATTGAGTTTTCTTGTGTGACTGCACTGTAATTTTTCTTGGTGATTTGACTGGAGTTTCTTTGACGGGAGTTCTTCTTGGGGACTTGACAGGAGTTTTTCTTGGTGATTTGACTGGAGTTCTTCTTGGGGACTTGACTGGAGTTCTTCTTGGGGACTTGACTGGAGTTCTGACTGGAGTTCTTCTTGGGGACTTGACTGGAGTTTCTTTGACTGGAGTTCTTGGGAACTTGACTGGTGATTTCTTAACTGGTGTTTTTCTTGGGGACTTGACTGGAGTTTTTCTTTGATTTTCGGACCTAAAATTAAAAATAATTTTAAGAAGCATTTCAAGATAGATTATTTTGAGAAGCACAATCAGGGCTCTAATTGACTTTTGCAGACCTAAAATGAAAAATAAATTTAAGAAGCATTTCAAGATAGATTATTTTGAGAAGCACAATCAGGGCTCTAATTGGCGACTAATTTAGTCGCCATGGCGCCTAAAATTTTTGATTGGCGTCTAAAATTTTTCAATTAGTCACCAAATTTGCGACCATTTTAAATTGACTTGGTGATCATCGAATCCCGGAAATTTTCTCATTTTTAACAATTTTTTCTGAAAAAAGCATAAAGAAATTTAAAAGTAGAGGAAAATATTTTTAGCATTGGACATGTCATGTTTTCTTAGGCATGTCATGGATCTCTATATTCTATTTACTTTTAGAGTCAGCACCTCAGAAATATTGCCTGGCGACTAAAAATTTGCATTGGCAACTATATTTTTTTATAAGGTGCCAGCTGGGGCCTAAATTTTAGAGGCCACTTAGAGGCCTGACAATATTCTTACTGATATCCCCCCCCCCCCCCAAAAAAAAAAAATATAGCAAACAGATTCATCGAATTTGTTATAGTGATATTCATTTAACAGTTTTCAAATCTACTTTTGTTATTAAAACACCCTTTTGTGAGAACTGAAATGTCTTAATTTTGAAAATATTTTAATCATAAATAATTTAACTAAATATTACATATGTATTTTCAAATGAAAAACAAAAAGAGTTGCATAAATTTACAAACAGCAGCATAAATCTGAGATAATTAAAACACTATCAAGGGGAGCCTGACAGGGCTTATCTTCTTGGATCCGCCTAACAGATATGCCATGTGGTGCTAATTTCAGCTTGAAGTAAGATAATTTATTCACATTAACATCTGTGTCTGTCTGAATATTTATTAGTTTATAGTTACACTATCTGCCCAGCAGTGGACACCAGCAGTGTTGCTTACACAAACAGCATAGATAAACTTAGATCAGATAGCATGTGGTGGCAAGCATTTTCTACCTCTTTGTATATTATTAAGACTTGCTTGGAGAGTGAAATTTAATACTTGGCATGTTCCCTCTCTCTGAAATCCCACAGAATGCGCAGTGGTGGGTAAAATAATGTTGTAAACACAACATTGGTCAAATCCGAGCGTTGCATTTAAGTTATCCCTGTATATAAGCTTGGTATCAGATAGTTCTCCATTAACTTTGTTTATAAACTTTCACGGGTGTTTGCATGTTCATGTACATCATTATTTAATTTTGTTTATTATTAACAAATGATGTACATAAACATGCAAATACCCATAAAAATATAATACACATATAAAAATTTATTGATGTCATTTTTACATCGGGCACGTATTTTGTTTATGCCCGCCAATTTCAATGTAATATGATCCGCTGCTGTACCTTTGCACTGAACTGATGACATAATACACGATTTCTAAGACATATAATAATAAATTTTGATGTAGACCCTTTGTGTAAATCATTAGTGATTTAGAATAAATTTTGAAAAATAGAAATAACACGATTGTATGGCATTTCCTTGAACGCCATCTTTCCATCATCTTCAATATCACTTGTCTGCCACAGAACAACAACACTGCCTTCTTCTTCATTCTTAAATTCTACACGACTTTTTGCCATAATATGAACAGTTTTGTCCACAGGGAAGAACACAACAAAATGTAGATCATTTCCATCAAAGTACGCCATGGCTTCTAGCCTGCATGCAGCGCCAGCAGAATTTGAAATGGCTGATAAAGTGACGTAAAGTAATCACGTGATTTTTATCAGCCTCCCGCTGCATGCTTTACAAACGGGCAACACTAATAACCAGCAATATAAGACTGCCATTAAAATATATACATATAGATTATTTTTTTGAGTTAATGTCAGCTTTTTGAAATTTTTTTTGTAATGAAAACTTTTTCCTTTTAACTACAAAGACATCACAAACCTTAGAAAACATCGTAAAAATTATGGAAACAATAAAACCATTCAACGGACATTAGTGCACACAGAGCATCTGGGATGAATTATCTTAATCCTAAACAGCAGTGGTAAAAATGGAAGAATCGTGTAAGAAGAAAAGAGGTCCATATCATAAAAGATATGATAGGTATTTCGGTTACTTATTTCCTTTATATGTATAAATGTATGTTGCATATTTCAGTAGCGTAATCAGATTGATATATGGAGGTGGGGGGGGGGGGGGGGGGTTACACACCTTATTAATTTACGTACGGCTGCTAATTTGCACTTTTATAAAACAATCATTAGAATTAAGAAATAAAAGATCCACATTGGTGTAACATATAAGGAGTAAATTACTTAAATTGTTGCTATTGTATAAATACACTCATTGTTCTTTGTTTTATTTTTAATTATGAATTGTATTGCTTGACCCATATGGGTGTATTATGCAATAAAGAATTAAATTTAAAACGCATGAATCTCAAGAAAAATAAAGGGGAAAAAAAATAAAAGAGTTAAACAAATATTTACTTTCCACTGGGCATCAAAACTAAAATTTCAAAGAACGTAAATAAATGAATTGATACTTTTAATAGCGGAAGAGAGAGAGAGAAAGGGGGGATCTTAAGGTATTTATCATAATAAGTTAACCCCTCTCTCCACATGCATGACTATATTATTTATTATATGACATTGATGAATACATTAAAGTAGGGACTTTAAACATTTTCTTTTACATTGTTTTAATTTCTCTCCCTCAAATATATCCATACAGATTCATGACATGGAAGACACAAGCACCAGTGCATACAATAAGACCTACATTGAGAAAACTGAGGATGTTTTATGTGATCAAGATGTTCCAATGGCACTTCATATTAAAAAAGAGAGACTTGAAAGTGTAGATTCAAATGTGAGTTATAATTTAAATGAACTTCGCCCTAATGATAAAAGTCATGAAATTACTGCAGTGGATGATTTTGTGGAAAATGTTAACAACGGTGATGAAATCAAAAATACTGCAGCAGAATTAGATGAATCTGAAGAAAATGCTGAATTTTGCATCAAAATGAACCATATGGAGAGGAAAGAGAAACTTTGGTATCCAACAATGTTCCTGATATACCTAATGAAGTGTTTGACCCTAAAAGTGACAAAGTACTTGATGAACTTCTTGAGGAGGCAAAATTAAGGGACAGTGACTTATTGTGTGATGAAAATGAGATTGATATTGAAGATGATGTAGGATTTGTCGATGAATTTCCAAATTTCATATTCAATGATATAGAAAATTCTGTACCCAAACCTGATGATTCCAAGTCCAAAGAAGACCGCTTTACAGATCCCCTGTTTGAAGGATCACCCTATACTCTTGGTGTTGTAATTTTGCTGATATGCTGCTTTGTGATTAGATTTCGATTGCCTGATGAAGCAATATCGTACTTACTTCGACTTTTGGCTTGTATTTTACCTTTAGGACATGCTTTATATGGGAGTCTATACCATTTCAGGAAGACAATCAGATTGTTCACAGATTGTTTGATACCAACATTGACATATCACTGCAACTCTTGTTATGAAATAGTTGGCAAGAATGAGAAAAACTGTCCGTTGTGTAATAAATCATTGACGGAATCTGGGGCTAGGGCATACTTTATTCAACTCAAACTTTTATCCCAACTGCAAGCATTATGGAAGAAAAAGGAATTTTGTGACATGGTGCGAAAACATAAATTTGAGCATTTTGAAAGCAATAAAGCAGATAAATTTTCTGATATTTATGATGGGTTATTGTACAAACACTTGTTTCAAAATGAATGATGGTGTTTTATCGTCTCCAAACA